GTCAATGCTATGCTGTGCTGGGAGTTTTCAGGAAAAGTCGGAAGAGCAGGTACTGGGCCATCTGGGGTCAACCACCAAGAGGGGTGGGAGCGGCAGTGGGGAGCCCCGAGTGGAGATGGCGCTCCTGGGAATTTTGACTTCCCAGATCGTTGTGCCGTTGTTACAAAAGCAGCAGACCGTGCATCGACGGAGAAATTCCGGAGTCACGTAGTCAACCTTGAGATCCCGTAAGTGGAGAATCAGACCAGAGAAAAGGCTGTGTTCCATCAACTGCTCTCACTGGAGGAAGAACCAAAGGAGAAAGGCAGCTAGCACGGCCCCAGCCGGTGGATTCTGAGAAAGGAAATAGGGATTCAAAATTAAATTCAGTGTGGTGTGACCCCAAAACACATTCAGATCGAGGACTGTGGAGGGAAACTCAAATGTCCTAGGGGACACACGACTTGGAGGCCAGCAGATTGCTTTTGCGGAGAAGGAACACCCTGCTCTGCTTCCAAAGGGCTCGATCAAACCTGGGCCGGCCAGGAGAACTCAATCCCGGAGGAGAGAAGAGTGGGGACAAGCCACCAAGTCAGCCTTCTTCATTTGAAGCTGAGTGGGGAGGACGATAAGGAGAGAGAAGCCTGAAGATCCGGGTAGAAAGCAGGATAAAAAAGGAAAGAGCTCTTTAATCGAGGGGAATGCAGTGCAACGTGGAAAACAGGCCATAACAGTGAGTGCAGCCGCGGAGTCTGTCCCTGCTTCAAAAGCACTCCAAGCCAAGTGCAAAGTTCAGGCATAAGTTAATTTTCTACTACATCGCACGTGGCCCCGAAATGCCCCGTCCTCGTCGGTGCAGTTTCAGGGCGAAGATGCGGGATTCTCCTTTGACGTTCTGATCTGTCATTTGCTCTCCCTGCTCGGTGCCTCGCCCCCCACCCCTCACCTCACCTGCCTCAGCGTGGGGGGGGGGGGGCCCGTGAGCATCAGAGACTCCTCCAGGCTGCAGAGCGCGGGGACCCAGCTGTCGCGTTGCCGGGGACAGAACTCTGCTCCCGCCCGAGAGGCCCTAAGCTGCCAGGACAGACACCCGGCCCCGGAACACTCCCCCGTGTCCTGATTTGATTCGTAAATGCCACCTTCCCATCCCCGTCCTGCTCTCTGCCTGCAGCGGGAGCTCCTTGAGGGAAGGGACCGTCTGGCACCATTTCCGGTTCCCTCGCTCCGCCCGCTCGGTTCCGACTCGCGTCTGGCACGACAAGTCTTGGGGGCTCACGCTTTGGGGATGGGCCAAGAGTTTTGCCATCGCCTGCAGGCGTGGTGGTTGAAATCCGGCTTAAACCTAACTCAAGCCCACCGTTCAGTTGATAGATGAGGAAACTGCCGTCTAGAGTTGCAGACGAGCATTGGTTATGAGAATAACTGTACTTCGACATGGGGGTTAGGATCCTGGGGCGCAACGTGCACACGCACGCACACTTACACCGTCATACCCGTGCCCTTGCACACTCACACTTGCATGCTCACACGCACATACTAACACATGTGCATGCACACATATCCCGTGGGGTGGTGGTGACATTGAGGGGACGCCAGACTGCGTCCATCATTACAGTTTCTGCTTTCACGACGGGGAGGCCAGAGTTATCACCACCACGGTGCGGAGCAGCTGAGAGGCTCCGTCACCCGGGGCCCCGTCCTGACGCCCCGGCTGGGAGCTGCCATTCCCACAGCAAACGACACTGTCCCCGCTTTCCTCCTCCCAGCTTCTGTTGAGAGAGAGGGAGAGGGAGAGAGGGAGGGAGGCATCTCCTGCATTTATGCAGGGCTCTGCATTCTTCGTGCGACGCTCACCAGAGCCAGTGGGTGTCACACTCCTCAGGTGACAGATGCAGAAGTGGGGTCCCGGGGTCGCTCGGCTGCGTCCAGCTAAACCACCTCAGTCCCAAGTCTGGCTAACCCCTCGTTCCATATTAGTCCTGCTAAGCCTTTTGCACAGTTTGGAGCCGATCTTCTTTTGCAGCCCCGTCGTCCTCTACCGTGAGGAAGCTCCCCCTTCCCAGCCGCACTGGTTTCTAGCTGTTTCCAGAACATGCCTCACAGTTCTTGCCATCTTTTTCCCTGGTTGCCCCTCTGCGTGGGACGTGCTTCTCTCCCCACCTCCCATTTGGCTCTGGAAGGTTCACCAAGTCAAATGATGCCTCCTTCACGAAGCCCCGCCCCGACCCCAGAGCCCATCCGGGGACCCAGGAGTTTGGATTTGGACATTTTGGACTTTTGAGGGAGAGTGGAGCAGGGGCGAGCCGACACTTTATAAATATCTGCTCACATCTGTGTGTTAAAGCGCCCATCCTTCCTCGCTCCGTTGATAGTTGACTGATATATCTCGCTATACGTTTGCATACCTTGTAAGGACCTTCAGGATGGGGAACATTTCTGGTACGTTGCTTGTAGCACCTGAAGCTCGTAGCACTGGCCGTCAGTGGGGGAGACAGTACAAAATGCTTTCAAAAATCCAATTCCATAGAAATATTCAGATGCAAGTCTATGTGTTACCCCCAATAAACGCACACATCGTTGTGTCCCTTTAAACCGTGTGATATAAAATCGTCACACTAGATTTTATATAATGAAATCAAATATAGCACGAAATGCAGAAATACTTCTTGCCACATGCTATCGAAAGATAGTAAGTCAACTTAGTTTTCAAAGGGCAGCACTGACCGTGTCGTGATCCACGGAATCAGAAATAACCATTCTAACGAAAGTAAGCATTTGCAATTTAAGGCAAAGACAGACACTGTAAAAAACAAAAACGAAAACAAACAAACCCTCTGCTTTAATGGAGGAATCCTTATTTTATTATTTGCAACTCAACAAACAAGTTGAATTGACCCATTTGAAGAAAGGAAGCGGAAATCTCAGCTGAGGAGGTGAGAAGGGAAGGGAATCTTAGGAGGAAACGCAGACGGAGGGAGCGAGGTAGCCTGGGAATGAGCCACGGCCTCTACCCCGTCCGGTGCCGTGTGCTCACCGCCCTTCCCGGCGCCTCGTCGCTTGACTCTGGTCACTCACCTGGGCACATGTGGCTTTTTACAGACCTCACGGCTCAACCTAAATGGCCTGCGGCGAAATGGTCTAACGGGCCAGGAGGTCAGGTGCGCGGAGATGATCTTGCCTTTACTTTCCGGTCTGCTGGACCGTGAGTTCCAGGCAGGCAGGGCCCTGGGCTCAACGTAGAACCTGCCCTGTTGTAGGTGTCCAGTCACCTTTGGTGGCATAAACGTGCTCTCCCCAAGCCATCAAGTGGTCGGTGACACTTAGTCCTAGCCTGTCCAAAATTGTTTTAAAAATCTCTGGAGCACAGTAGGCCATGTTAACGGAGAAATAGGCAGGGAGTGGAGGTGAAGCCAACCCGGCCCTGAGCCCTGCACTGGGACCCTCTGCTCGCTCTTCTTCTAGGGGCTGGCCTCCTCGGCCTGCCCTCCGCCCCATGGCCACGCCTACCGTTGCAGGCCAGGGCTCTCCGTGTCCCTGCCTCCTCCTGCCCTGGGGACATTGAGTCCTCAGTCCTGCAGGATCATCTGTGGCGGCCAGTGCTGGGGTCACAGCTCCTCCGCTCCCTCTGCAGGGCGGCACCAGTGTCCCTCCCGAAGGTCACCCAAGGTCAAGTGTGGGCTCTCCCCTGCTCCACTCTGCCTCGAAACTCCAAAACCTCCAAATCCAAACTCCTCAGTCCCCGGATGGGCTCCCCTCCTGCCCCTTTTCCATGAAAGGTCCAGCCCGCCTCTGGCGCCTCAACTTGGCCCCCGGTGACCTTTGATGACCACCCCCCGCCCCCCCCCCCCGTCGTGCTCACGGCCCCCGCACGCTTCCGCATAAAGTGTCTCCTGTTCCCATTTCCCCGTCCCCACCCTGCATCAACCCTTGCTCCGAAAACGTTTCGGTGCCTCCCACCCGTGCTTCCTGCCTCCGCCCTTTCCTTCACAGCCATCTTGCACATTCCAGAAGGTCACGTTTCAAAAACGCGGCTTGAGCCTGACGCAAGTCCTGCCGCCCCACTGCACGCAAAGCCACGCGGCTCCCCGTGGCCCACTCGCCCCTGCCGCGCTTGTGCCAGGGTTCCCGCACACGCCACTGCTCACCAGCTCACGTACTGGTCGCCCACTGGTCATGCCAGTCCCCGCGCTGGGCCAGGAAAACCAAAACAAACGAGGAAGATACTCCCTGGGCATGGAAAGCAGCCAGATGGCGTTTGCCCGCCGCGCAGCGAGGGCTGTGAGGCGGGGGCGTCCACAAAACCGCAGGGGAAACCACGGAAGGGACCGGCTTGCCGGGCGATCCTGAAGGTCTGGCTGGGCCGGGCCGTGAGGGGTAAGCACCAGCCCGGAAGGTCACTGCAGCCAAGGGCAGCCACGGGAACGGTGACAGGACTTCAGGTGGGGACGCTGAGGAACGGGACATGGCCCGGGCCTTAAAGCAGCTGGCATCCCAGCGGGTCAGAGGGGTGGCCGCCAACGGTTACACTGCAGAATCTGAGAGAGCGTCGTGGGGTGGGGGCGGGGCAGGCAGAGGAAAGAGGGGACACGCAGCAAGAGCAGAGTCCCGGCGGCCAGGAGGCCGAAGCTGTATCAGAGGCACACTGTAGTGCGCATGGAGGGTGCGGACCGGTACGTGACAAGGCCGTGGTGCAGCCAAGGCCAAAGCCAGGGAGAAGGGGGAGGCAGAGGACAAAGCCTGCATCGTGTGTCCTGCCTTCCTTCCGCGGCCCCCACCGTGCGTCTGCAGCCACCCTCCCATGTCCTCAGTGTTCGCCTGTGCTCTCTGACCTTTCTCTCTCCTCGACTCTTGCTCCTTCAAGGCCACTCACCTGCCCTCCAAGCCCTCCCCATCCTCCCAGACTCCCCTCAAGGCCCCGTGTTTCACACAGGCCATTTGTGACCCCTCCCTCTGTCAGCACCGGGCTGGCCACCCATCCCGTGGGCGGCCTTTGCCCTCGAGCTCCGCTGTGGCCTCCCCAGCGCGAGTCCTTGGTGACTGAGGCGAGAAGGCCGGTCACCCCGTGTGGCCAAGGACGAGGGATGGGCTTGGGAGCCACGTCCACCTGGGGCTTCCCGGCTGTGCCGCTGACCAGCTGTGTGACTGGGTGAGTTGCCTGGCTGCCATGACGAACGACCCCGAACTTGGGGGCTTAGAGCGACAGAGATTTCTTCTGTCACAGTCCTTGAGGCCGGAAGTCTGAAGTCAAGGAGTCAGCAGTGTTGGAGGGAGGATCCACCGTGGGTCCCTCCTGGCTCCTGGCGGCTCCTGGCAACCCTTGGCGTTTCCTGGCTTGTGTCACTCTGGTTTCTGCCTCCACCTTGATGTAGCCTCCCCGCCATGTCCCTGTCTTCTCCTTTTTCTCTAAGGACACATGTCATTGAATTTAGGGCCCACCGTGAATCCAGGATGAGCTCACCTTGAGATCGTGAGCAAAAATCACACCCGAAAAGACCCTTTTTCCAAGGGTTCCATTCCTAGGTACCTTTGTTGGAACTTAGACATATCTTTTGGGGCAGCACTATTCAACCCACTACAGTGACCTTGGACTCTTATCATTGGCTTCCTCTTAGTGAAAGGGGCTCATGATACCTGCTCTAAAAAGATTGCTCTAAATATTAGAGAAAACAGAGGGATTCAAAAGCCTGGCTCATGGGGCGGGAGAGCATAAGGAGTGACTGTTGGTGGGTGCGTAGTTTTTTGGGGGGTGATGAAAACATTCTAGAATCAGTGGTGATGTTTGCACAACTCACTGAACGTACTAAAAGTCATCGAGTTGCATGCTTTAAAAGAGTGACCTTAGGGGCGCCTGGGTGGCGCAGTCGGTTAAGCGCCCGACTTCAGCCAGGTCACGATCTCGCGGTCCGTGAGTTCGAGCCCCGCGTCAGGCTCTGGGCTGATGGCTCGGAGCCTGGAGCCTGTTTCCGATTCTGTGTCTCCCTCTCTCTCTGCCCCTCCCCCGTTCATGCTCTGTCTCTCTCTGTCCCAAAAATAAATAAACGTTGAAAAAAAAATTTAAAAAAAAAAAAAAAGAGTGACCTTAATGGTATGTGAATCATTTCTCGATAAAGCTGTTGTTTTTAGAAAGGAGCCTGACTCACGGGGTGGTCTCTTCATAAATCGTAAGCTGCTATTATTATTACTGATGTGCCAGTCACAACTGTTATTAAAATCTTTTATAATAGTTTAACGTTTTACCTCTTCTGTCATGCCTCCCAAACCCGGACGTGAATTACATTTGAAACGGGAACCACGGGTGAGATATCCTTGTGTGTTCTACCTTAGCTAGCCCGGGCTTTGCATGCAGTAGGGGACACTGCCTATTTGTTTTGATTGTACATGAGTCGTTCTCATGGAAATTGCTCGTTGGAAATAAGCCCAACGGAGCTCGCGTGTTCAGTAACATCGCTGCGATCGCTGTATCCAGCGTGCGTGAGGTGGGATATTACTTTTACCCATGGGCTCCCCCAGGAAAGGACTGAAATTAGATTTCATGCCAACCGCGGTTCTAACTTATGACTGACAGCCTGATATTGAGACCAGAAGTCTTTTTTTTCCCACGAAAATTCAATTAGCAGTTGAACATGGAACCGGGTCCGGCAAATTCACATATTCTAATCGTTGCCTTATTACAGGTAGTCAAAATCCATGCGCCACTCTCCGAGTTGCCCGGGAGTCGTAAGAAAGATCATACTAAGAACCACAGCAGGAGGCTGTGTTATCGCCTGATGCGCCACTGCTTTGGAGATTAAAAACTGAATTCTGAGAAAAACAAAAACTTATCTGGAGGAAATATAGGCCCTCCTGAGTTTTCACTTTGAGAGCTAACAAAGTCAATTTAAAATTTTAATAGATTCCTCTTCGTTGCCGTTGAAGGAAAAACACCACGATTTTAAACTTTTAAGGAAGGCTGCCTGTATTCAAAGCAGCCACTCCATCTCTCTGGCTCTTTTTCCTTCTCGTGCTTCTCACGAGAGGCCCCACCTCCCTCTCACAACAGCGCTGGAGGGAAGCAAGAAGGCATGAGGGTTGAGAGGCGCAGGGCTTGGGCCCACGGGTCCCAGCTCTGCCTCCAGCCACCTGCGTGTCCTTGACAGTCAAGATCACGGCCAGAGATACAGCCGGGTGCGGATCCATTGGGTGATCAAGGCAATGAGCACAGCCCAGACAGAGTGCCATCAGGTGGCCCTCCTCACCCCCCAACCATGCCTTTCTGTTCCGCTTTCCTCCGTTCATATACTCAACTCACTGCCCAAGAACTCAGCCTCGCTCCCCACCATGGAGGCCGGTCCAGGATCCTCCTGTCTTTCCCTGGAAAAGGTACCCATGGTCTTCATTTCCTGACCCGACTCTGGCCGGGGAAAAAAGCCCCAATTTCAGAGTCTGCTGGATTTAAATTCCATACTCCGAGATACTTCCAGCTCCAAGTTTACAACTAAATATCTATGACATTCAGCTTAAATTACACTCGCTTATCTAGCTCGGGGCCAGCAAGGGCTGTGAGAACATCAAAATTTTACATCTCAGAAACCCTGAATCCTTGAGTTTTGTGTCCACTGTTGTTTCCAGCAACCTCTAGGGCTAAATGATTAATTATACTCAAGACAGCCCAAGGCAATTATTTAATTAAGCTGCATTACAGGCTGCGAGTTGTTTGGAGCAAAGGGAAAGCCTTCACCCCAGTTTCTCAACGTCTGGCCCTTGGATGACTTAAAAGATAAAAGGAGATATGAGAACATTTTTATGACTAAGTAGACAATTTCTAAAATTTTTCCATAAAGTAGAAAAACTTTTTCAGTAATTTGTTTCTCGTGATTAGAACTTGGTGACATGTTTTACTGTGAGGGTTCAGCTCATTTAAATCTAACGCAAAATAGAAGACGTTGGTGTATGAAGTGAAATGTTGGGATCATCTTTGTTTTGGGGCAAGAAAGTCAGTATTTTAGCAAATCTATGCTTTCCCTTCAAGTGTGTTTGTTTTCCGCATTCCCTTGGCCTATTTTTTTTTTAAGTACTCTGTCTTAATTTAGGTTCTTTAAAGTCAACTTTAACAAACAAAAATCCCCCATTACCCATTCCAAACTTCAAAACCTAAGTTTTGTTTCACGAAGAACTTTTTAAGAAGAGAGATACAAGCTGCCCCAACAGAGAGGATGGCCAAAGTCTTATCTGTACGGTCTACTGGAGACACACGAAGACATTAATTGGGGCACAAGCATCCAGACATGAACTTGCTCTTTCCCACTGCCCATAACTTCATTCCATTGGACTGGTAGAGTAAACCAGTTGAATAATAATGAACTGAGTAGAGTGTATTTGTTCACCAGTTGTGTTCAACATAAGTATGTGACTCATTCAGACCTCTTCCTTCCATCCTATGTGAGTACTGAAATACTGTCATTCTATTCAACTCGAAGAGTGACTATTCACCCATAAATGGGCCATCCATAAGCATAAGATGGCACTTGCTTTAACAGCGCATGTGCTAAAATTTTGAAACGAGAAGCACAGCACGAACGAAGAGCCGAAATAAGCAGTAATGAATGACATAGGAACATGTTCTAAGGTCCCTCTTGTGGAAACAGGCTCAGGTTTTCTGGAGAAGAGGGATGGAGCAATGCGCTTTTTCAACTCTTTCTTCAGCACTGAGGCGTCCTTGAGTTGAGGCAGTGTGAACCGTGTGTTAGAACTACTGCCTGAAACCTGAGCCTGTGGACCTCATCCATAGTCCTGAATCTTCTGACGTGACCTGCAAAATATCGTAGACATGTGCCTGTGTGAGTTTTTTTGAGAAGGCTATAAAAAGGTTCAGGTCTCCAAAAAGGTTAAGGCTCACTCTGTCAGACGTGTCTGTTTACAATGCGATAAATCTCACATGACGTGGTAGGCATTTCTCTAGCGGAGAGGTTGTGGTTACCTTGCTAAATAATGGAAGTCTCTAGAAGCTTCCATTATTGCGTGGGAAGAGTCTTAAAGCTGCCAATTTACTATTACTCAAATTGCCATTTCTCCAAAGAAAATCCTTCTTTCAACACCAAGAAGAGCCTTTTAAATTACTTTATCGTCCCACACTGGAAAAGAGAGGAACAGAAACCATCATGTAGGGCAGTGTTCCCCTAACACCTGAAGGAAGCTGACTGCCTTAGGCTGGCACTGCTTTTCTGGAAAGCGGAACATTGTCTCGGCTCTGTCGTGCTCCAGAAGGGCAGACGCGCATCGTGGTCCCTGGCATGATGCCACCTTCCCTCTCTGCAAGGCAGAGAATGTGTAACAAAGTTGTCTGTTTTTTAAAAGAATTCATACCTTTCTTCCCAGATCGAAAAGTTACTTCAAAGTTCCTTTGTATTGAAGTTACTTCAGTAATTAAGGAGTTACTGTCATTCGTAGAAGTGTGTTTATCAGATTAATGCTATATTTCCTATCAGGGAGTCACGGATGGCCAGTGTGTGGGCAAATGTGTTATCAAAGCACAGGACCTTCCGGAAATTGTCAGTCTTTGGAATAACACGTTAATAGAAAGAAGCCTAAACCGCAGACCTGCCCTTGTTAATAACAAAGAGGACAGCTACCATTTAAGCACTGATCTATGGCGTCCACAGGACTACAAGTTTCCGTTAGATGACATAGCAGCCCAGAGAAATAGGTATTATTATCCCATTTGACAGGTAAGGAAACCAACGTCAAAGAGGTCAAGTTCACACTATTAGTAAGTAGCAGAGCTGGACCTTAGGCCCAGACTGCCAGACCCCTAAGGCCGCCTTGTCAACCTCAGGCCCAGGATGTTTCCCAGCAGTCCTCTCTCCTATAAAGAGAGATCCACCTTTAGCCAAGTCACAGACCTCGGCCCTCAGGAAGCAGTCCTAATGCTTTGTGCCCTTACACTGCTTCCTTTGGTGACACGTCTCCCACAAATAAGTAGAAGTGGGTGCTCAACCTTACATCAGAATCCTTTCAGATATTTAGGAAACGTAGTGGACCAGACTGAATAATTCACATGCAGGAATTTGCCTTTAAAGAAAAAGATTTCCCTCCCGAATCACACCTGCTAATTCAGATAGAGTTATTTTCCAAGGCAGAGGAAACATCGTTTCTCTCAACTCTTTTTGCCAGTAAAAAAAAAAAAAAAAAAAAAAATTGTAAATTGAAATTAAAAAAAAAAATAGAGAGAGGCTAAATGCAGTCTATTCTTTACCGTGAAATATATTTGAACCAAAAAAAATTTCCCGGATTGTTTTCAAAACATTTGCAAGAAGAAAATCCATGCAAACATGTTGCACAGAAATGGCCTTAAAACCCGAGGATATAAATAAATTGGCCTTCCTCCTGCCATTCCTTCCCTTGTTAAGAACAGGGCCTTGGCCATAAACAAGAAGCTACCTTTAAAAATTATATACTTTTTTCCTTCTTTCTTTTTCAACAGGGGACTTATTACATTTGAAAATAACACGTATCTCTTGGAACCAATGAAAAATGAAACCAATGAATACAAGCTCTTCCCGGTGGAGAACCTGAGAGGCACCTGGGGGTCCTGCGGATCACATCACGGCACGTCTGCCCCGGCTGCAGAGACCAGGCTCCCGCCGCCCTCCCAGACGTGGGCAAGAAGGGTAGGGGAAACCAAGGCCGTGCTCCTGGGGGCGTGGGGACTCCAGCTGGGGGCACCCAGGGCGAGGGCATCTGGAGGAATTCTGCTGTCTGGGTGTTGTGTCTGCGGGATGGAGTTACCCGCTTTATCTGGAGCGGTTGCCATCACCTGTGCAGAGCGAACCCAGATGCTGAAACCTCCATCGTTGTTTTGCAAATGTCAGTCTCGGCGTCATTAACCTATGATAAAGTCGGGCTCAGAGGCCGACAAAATCACCCTTCGTTACGTGTCTGAACCTACGGGGGCCCGGACCCACGGTCACACCCCCACCGTTGCACCCGCCTCCGTAAACAAGGCAAGAACAGGCCCTCACCTGCCCTTGGCCAGCAGTTCTGCTGCTACAGGAGAAAGACAATCTGGAGGTTTCTTCATCCCCCAGTCTGTTTACAAATAGGGTCTTCATTGTGATTTGCGTACCATTCCCGGTCTTTGCCTGCGTGCCCGTGCAGAGGTGACCAGAGTCCTGGCCACGCAGGGCTGCTGAGGAGCCTTGCTTAGCCCGGTCCGTGATGCCAATGCCTGGCCTTCCTCCCCAAGACCGTCCCCGCTCTCTGTGTTTTCTGGCCACCTGCTCCTGGGCCTGCTCACCAAAGGTCTCTCCTTCTGCTACAGAAGTGGAAAGAGTCATTGCCTGATGGAGTCTGGGCCGCTAACCTCCCTCCCCACTAAGTGGACAGAAACACAGAGGCCTCAACAGCCCGTGGGCAATACCACGAAACCTCCACCCCAAATGACTGCCTGACCCTTTTACGTCTAGCATTATGTGGGCCCCACGAGCCAGAGCAGACGCTCTTTTTTTTTTTTTAAACGTGCACAAATGTATTCATTTTTTACTGGGGTGTCATTTTTTTTTAATGTTTATTTTTTGAGAGAGACAGAGTGTGAGTAGGGAAGGGGCAGAGAGAGAGAGGGAGACACAGCATCCGAACCAGGCTCCTGGCTCTGAGCCATCAGCACAGAGCCCGACGCGGGGCTCAAACTCGTGAACCACGAGATCATGACCTGAGCTGAAGTCAGATGCTTAACTGATTGAGCCACCCAGGCACCCCGTGAACTCTCTTAAAAAAGGAGGAGGGTAGCCACATTTGGCTGGGGCCCTGCCTTTCAATGAGCACAACCAGATAGGAAGTTGTCAACAACTTCCTGATTTTTCATCTCTGGCTTTCCTGTCCCCCTTTTGACAAGAAATCAGGAATTCATAAATATGATGTCAAATGTGTGATAATTAGATGGCCCAGGGACATGTTCTTCAGGGTCCCACTTCACAGACAGCACATTTTGTCTTTCCTGACTTTGAATGTTACACTGCTTAGCATTCAACATTCCATACATATCATTCCCCTTCGTTCATTCCCAGTCATTTGTCTGAGTTCCACCAGTAAACATTATCCTAAATGATTTCTTCTCCTTCGTAAAATATCCCTCGCAGCTGTGACTAGAGAGTGTGCCCCTCGCCTTCATTTTGATGTCGTTGATTCTCTCCATCCTGGTCTTCTGCCTGTGTGACCCTAACATCCTCTATTTCTTAATATGCTTGCGAGATTTTAGGGGCACTGTGGTGGCTCAGTTGGTGAAGCGTCTGACTTTGGCTCAGATCATGATCTCACGGTTCGTGGGTTCGAGCCTCAAGTTGGGCTCCGTGCTAACAGTGTGGAGCCCGGAGCCTGCTTCGGATTCTGTGTCTCCCTCTCTCTCTGCACCTCTCTCTCTCTCTCTCTGTCTCTCTCTCAAAAATAAACAAACATTAAAAAAAAATTTTAATATGCTTACAAGATTTTCTTTCTTTTAATGTTTATTTATTTTTAAATTTTTTTTTAATGTTTTTATTTATTTTTGAGACAGAGAGAGACAGAGCATGAGCAGGGGAGGGGGGGTAGAGAGAGAGAGGGAGACCCAGAATCCAAAGCAGGCTCCAGGCTCTGAGCTGTCAGCACAGAGCCCGACACGGGGCTCGAACTTGGGAATGGCGAGATCGTGACCTAGGCTGAAGTCGGACGCTTAACCGACTGAGCCTCCCGGGAGCCCCTGCTCACAAGATTTTCTATGACAGGTGCTTGCCACTCTTCTTCCTTCTCTTGTGCATCACGCAGAAGGGTAAGAACCCCCGTCTGGGACTGTGGCCCACCTTGACACTGAGACTCAGTGGTGGAGACTGAACGTCCCCCCCCGCAGGGAGCAAAGCTTGAAAAATCCGCCCCCCTACACACACCTGCCTACGGCAGTTCCAGGGAGTTTTCATCCTGCTTTTTTGCATCCCTCCCCCCCACCCCCACCCGCACGGTAGAGTGACAAATTTAAGAGCTGGAGTCACAAAGTCTGGCCTCTGTGGTCCCCAGGGCACGTTTCTTTCACTCTTGCGACACTCTTGCCTTCCATTCCAGACCTCAGAGAGGAGGTGATGCATCGGTAGCTCTTCCAGTCATAAACAAGTAGAACATTTGCATTTGGCTTTGGAGGTGCTTTGCTTTGAGACCCCGGCACCCGTGCTTCAAGATTTACAACCTGACGGCGTCAATGACACTCAAGTACGTTTGCCATTTCGTGCGGAAGTACGACCTGGGTCTCCGCCCGCCAGCCACATTTTCACTCTTTAAGCTCAGGGCTCTCTCAACCTGCGATTGGCACCGTAATCTCCAGTCCTTCTGGCTTCAGAAGGAAGGCAGAAAACCAGACCAGCAGCGCCGTTTTGTTAACAATGCGTATTGGGGTGTAAGTGAACCTTTAAATTGAAAAGCAAAGGCTCCGTCCTCAACGTTTTGCTCTAGAAGTCGCTGCGATTGTTTTCATGGAAGAGAAAATGTCTGTGACTTCAAGTCCATCTACATAATGAAAATGAGACAAAAAGGTCATTTTCAAAGAAGGGGACTCCTTGGGAACTGGAACGGCGGGCGAGATGGTCTGGGACGGCCTCTCGGGTAAATACGAAAGGGGCACATTCGAGTCACGTGCCGCTCACCTGCCTCACTTACAGCCTCCTTCTTTTATGCTCCACAAAATCAATGTCACTGCGGCTTGCTCCTCTTGTGTATGCACTACGGTGACCGCCCTCGGCTTCGCCCAGCATTTTCTGGTGACTGTTGCAGAGATTGGTTTGCAGGCTGAGATTTTTCTGCAGATACGTGCGTTTTCCTGCCCGGAGCAGCAGGAATAAATCAGCGCTCAGGGTTTGCACTGGCTATACTGTGAGCCTGAGGTATTGTTTGTCATTTTTACAAGGCTCTACATTCGGTGTTAGTGAGGACCAACAGGTTGCTCCTGGCAGGGAGCCTGCCGTCTCCAGCTTCGCAGTCAGATCGCGCCCCCGCAACCCGCGGAGCCCCTGCCGCTCGGCTGTCCTGTAGACTCACCGCCCTCCTTCCCTGCCTGTCAACCAGCCATTCGAGAATGCAAGCTCATTTGAACACCGGCCTGAGCAAGCTATAGGCGAAGGCTTGGTAAATCTGCTACAGGAGGAAAATCACATAATACGGCCCAAAGGCACATGTAAATTGTGTTTGAATTATCCTCTCTTTGGGGATTATCTGTGCTGCGGTTCCCCTCCGTTAGTGTGGGTAATTATGAGTCAGATGCAAAAGGCGATAGCTCCTCTGGCAAACAGTGTTTGCTCAGGCTGCTGAGCTGGTCGGGGAGACCCTGCCGTGTTTCCTCAAACGTAGCCATTCGGGGGCGCCCGGGGGGCTCCGTCGGTTGAGCGTCCGACTTCGGCTCAGGTCACGACCTCGGGGTTGGTGGGTTCGAGCCCCGCATCGGGCTCTGTGCTGACAGCTCAGGGCCTGGAGCCTGCCTCAGACTCTGTGTCTCCCTCTCTCTCTGCCCCTCCCCTGCTCACGCTCTTTCTCTCGCTCAAAAATAAATAAACATTAAAAAAAGAAAAAGAAAAAAGTAGCCATTCGGAAACGGGCCAGGGCTACCGCTTTTGATTTCTAGACAGCCTCTCCTATTGGTTTGGTAGAAGACACAGTTGCGGTGGTGACAGGAGTGGCAATAATCCTACCCGTCCTCTGCAGAGCCTAAGGATAGTGGAGTCTCCGGAAGTGGCCAGAACCACGTGACCTCATTGATTGCAGCAGGCGTAACATAATTCCTCTCTGACATAACCATCTGCATATCCATCCCTCCCTTGGTCGTTCGTTCGTAGATCTTGCTGGTAGGTAACGGAGGCAGTTCCACAGCTGCTTCTTTGGCCCTGAGTCCTGAGCATCCATCAGTGTGAGCCGAACCCCCAGAATCTCCAGGTGTGGATTCCTATTAAGACCCAAATCGATGAAGACCCTGGATAAATACATAACAGATCTCGCTGGTGCCACTGGCGTTTTGGACTCAACTCCACTTGTCCCATTAACATTCAGTTCACCGGACTGAGCCCGTTCTTCTTGCTTCTCGCCTCTTCGGCTGGTCGTTTCTGCAGCCCGCGTCCTGGCCGGGCCCCGGAGGCTGTCCCCCCACGCTGCCCGTGTGCTTCACCCCCACGCAAGTCACTGCCAGGATGCAGGAGAAGACCTCACACAGCGGGAACCAGGGCTCGGCTTCTAAATACTCACAAAGTGACCTCGGAGTCAAGGCAAGAGCCTCGCGCAAGCCAACAATGACCCTTCTCTACTCAGAGGCAGATACACCAAACTTTTGATCTGTTTAATTTGCCGATCTTGCCACCCTTGGAGACACTGGCCCGGGCTCCGTTGTTACTGTCTCTTGGTGGTGGTTTTAGCCCAGTCAGCTGGAGGCCGTTCACTGATCTCCATGGTTGCTGTCCCAGCGGTCGCCAGCCATCACCTGCACTCCTGGCTTCCACCATCGTCTTCCAATAATCCGTTCTCCCAGCAGCCAGAGTGATATTTTTAGAACCTCACATGCAGGGACTCCCTGTTGCTCTCAGGTCACCTTCAGCCTCCTTTCCGTGGCCCCTGCCCCATGCACGTCTCATCCGCAACCCTCCCTCCGCTCTAGACTATGGAGCCGTCCTGCCTGTTGCTCTAACACCGCCTGATCTCCCAGCCTCAGGACTTCTGCTGTTGCTGTTCCATCTGTCTGAACACTGTTCCTCCACACATACCTACTTCTCTTCCTTAGGTCGCAGCCGCTTTAGTCGCACGCCCCCATCTTTAACCTCATGGCAACAGCACCTTCCACAGACTCAGCCGTATTTTTGCTAACTTTTTATTGTCACCCCATCCCCCGGCCCCTCCTGGGACGTGAGCCTCGTGAGCACTTTAACTTAGGTTGTTTGTCCGTCCCCGTATCCCCAGCACCTAACATCACGCCGAACACAGAGCTGCAGTAAATACTTGTGGGGCGAGTAATGATACACAAATAGTCTGGCCCCTATGGGGAAGGAGGTTCGATGAGAGTTTATCGAAACCCTAATCTCAGCTTGTTTTTCTGACTTGGGTTGGGTTAAGTCCCCAGGGCCAAAGTTCTTGCTGTAGCATGTTGGGGGATATTCTGTCTCCGGGAACTTGGCTGTGACAACTTCAAGAGGCCCAGGAACTGGTTCCCTCTTGAGCAAGACTCCGAGAACGCCTCGGTCTCCACCTTGGAACCGAGACTGTTGGGCCACGTTCAGGGGCTTATTATGTTCCTGTCTGTTTGGGGAAGGGCTTTTGTTTATAACCCCGACAGTGAAAATTCAATCAAGCAACCAGTTTCAAATGTTGCTCTGCATATCAAAAATTTTACATACGATTTTTTTTTTTTTTTAAACTGGACGGCCCAGATAGGTCAAAATCATGCGGAGGTAATTTAAGCCTCTCTGTGTGCCGCTGACGGAGGAATGAATGTTCGCGGCCATGAGCCGGCCCCTCCCCCATGGCTTTTTATTATTATGTGGTTAGGCTTCTCTCTGAGCTTGCAATTCTCTGAATTCATGAGAAAATCTGGACTCCTCTGAAAACTGCAGAGACAGGAAAATTGCGTTCATGTGTTTGTTTTCATTATCTGGAATTGTGTATTTTCTAAATGATGATCCAAGGCCACTTGGAAAAATCCCCTGGTCATTCATTTCACCCCTTCGTGGTCTGAAAGGTGTAAGTGCCTGAACAACCAAGGCCCTTCCTGCGAGTTTTTCAACAGGAGATTAATTCATTTCTTCTGTGATAGAGCTGTATTTTCTCCTGGAGGATTCGCTGAATCTGTTCATGATTAATCGCAGAGTCGTGGGAGAAAAGGAGACTTCTGCGTCTTTCACACCGCGATAAGGGAAAAGGGCCAGATCTTCACCCCTTCCAAAGGTGTCGCATTTGGGGTACACAAGCGGGTACGGCCGGGGCTAATCTTTTCTCCCGTCTGAGTCCACAGCTATCACCATAAAGCCTGCCTGTAACACATGGTCATGAAGCTTGACTTCTTTTCTCATAACGTGGTAAAAATATGAGAAATGATACCTTTTCCCTCTTCCATACGGTTTCCAGATTTCTTGAGGGATACCTAAATTCATGAATCAGCACAGCTGGGCGGCGAGCAGGAACACTGCTATGATACAAACATTTTTCTTGTAAAAATCCTGTTTTGAAGATCCCGGACTGATGGGGATTTGTTTTATAAAAGATGTTTCCCTCGGGCTTATGTGACTGGAAAGCTGATTCAAAGCATGCCTTGGTCATTTGTGCCGTTGTCTGAAAGCATGGCCAGAGCACGAGAGCTTTAACCGGGCAGCAAGATCGTTAATGCAGACACCAGCCCGTCCGTCGCGGGGACCAAACCCAGCTCGACCCCCGTTTCCTCCAACTGCCTTTCATTGCAGAAGCAGAAGTCTTTGGTTTTTTTTTTTGTTTGTTTTTCATGTGTGCTTTTGAGACCACCCTCCAGGAATTGCTCTTTTTCTCCTAAAAGTGCCTTTGGGATTCTCCCAGTAATTCATGGAAGAGTGCAAATGTTTTTTGAGGAAGCGTGATTAAAATGTAACCCACTTCAGAGGCTGCCTTCACTAGTCATACGTCTGCCATCGCCCTCTCCTCCGTGCCTGCCCCTTGGTGCACAGTCTCTCTATTCCTCTCTGCTCCTTCACCCTCCCCAAACCCCCTTCTCCAGGGCCTGGAGTTCAGTCTTTCCGTTCTTCCTTTCTTGACACTGTTTCTTGCTACTCTTGATCCTTTCTGGTTTTACCCTTAGCACCTCCTTCTTGCCCGACTCTGTTCCAGCCTGGCCGTCCCCCATTGTCCGGACCACTCGTCCTTTGCTTCTAACTAGATTTTCGCATGATCGGCCCCGAGGAGTAAGCTGCCTGAAACGGGCTATTCAGTGTTGCCCCCAAAAGTAGGCCATAGAGGGGAAGGCGACACACATGAGACACTGGATGGCATCGTCTTCTGTAGTGATCTTCACATGTGCCGCAGGTGGCTCAGAATGAATGGCCATCGGCTGGCTGGGGTTCCGGAGAGTTGCTTTGGTCTGACTCGTCTACGTGCATGTTTCGTGTAATAACGTTCTTGACTCGTTCTCGTCCCGCCGCCATCAATGAGTCAGAGGGCAGGCGGGATTCCTCTTGAAGGATTTCCCGGATGGAAATGGAAGCCGGTCACCCACGTGGAGAAGGTTTTCCAGAGGTTGTCGGGGTTGGAGGTGAACTTCAGAGGGGACAGGGGTAGGGCCGGTGGCGGTGGTGAGGAGTCTCTCGCCTCAGTTAAAGGGTGTGGGTCCAGAGATACGGGCAGTGTTCTGGAAGCCGCGGAGAGGTGTTATGGGAAATTAAAGGCCGTGTTTACTTTTGGCAGCATAAAAGAGAGACCCTCAAGATGACCAAGTACGTAGAGCTGGTTATTGTCGCGGACAACCGAGAGGTAAGAGCTTTATAAAACTTCTCGGTACAGTTGGTTAAAAACAGAAATAGGGAGAAGAAAATATTGAGCAAGTTATCCCTCGCCCTGATTAACCTCATTCTCTATGAGCCCTTAAAAGCATTGGAAACAACCCGTTGAAGCGGTTTCCTAGTATTACAACGTATGAAATATTACAAATGCACCTGATAATCCAAAATAATGACAAGGGCTGCAGTAAAGGCAGGACGGCCCTGTGGCTAAGGTCCCCAAACAGAAGTATTCGGGGGAAATGGCAGATGGCTTAAGAAGGTATTCTACAGCATTTGGGGGGAAAGTTGGGTTTAAAAATGTCCGACGCATCCCAAACCGAAATGAATTAACGAATGCAGGCTGCAGGGACACGGCAGAAAAACTGACTGTGTGCTTCGGTTGCTGCGTTAGCTTTCTTCCTTTCGTTGGTTTCCGGTGAGCTGTTTTGAGATGATCTTCTCTGAATTCCTTCCTCACCTCTGCCACATGGTCTGGGTGAGGTGACTTTTTCTCGTGAACTCACTCGACACCTACGAATGAAACAGGCTCGACCGTTTCCCAGAAAACTGTTCCCGTTCAGGAAGGTCAGATTTGAGGGGAGAAGGGGACCTCATTAACTTTTCTCCCTCCTCCTCTGCCTTGTTTGACCGGTGGCCATGAGCTTCTATTCCTTTCACTGTTTCTTTTTTAAAAACAAATATAAAGGAAATTTCTGAGGATGTTAAAATCAAGTTGATGATATGAAAAATGGCTTTGGACTGCCTTCTCGCTGTCTGTTCTCTCCGCCAAAACATGTCACAGCCTCCACCATTTGTGAGGCTGGAAAAATCGCAGAAGTGGCTGTCTCCTGAGCGCTTGGCTTGGGCAAATTTCAGGGAGTTTCAGAAAGTCCCCAGACAGGGAAATTTACTCATCAGGATGGGAACTCATTTCACTGTAAACTGGGGAGGGCCCCGGGTGGTGTGTGAAGCCCAAGACTTCACATTTCCAGGAGCTGGGAAGATGAGATTCGATGGATATTCTTGCCGTTATTAATGCTGACATTTAAAATTATTAAGTTTCAGAGGCAAGGAAAAGATCTGGAAAAAGTTAAGCAGCGATTAATAGAGATCGCTAATCACGTTGACAAGGTAAGTTCTTCTTGGGGTAATTAAATCACTCAGATCACGTAAATGTTTAGAAACGAGCTGCAGGGAATGAAACACACCTCGTCTGACTTGGCAGTGACATCGGTTCTGCCTCTGGTCCTGGGCTGGAACTCGGACTTCCCCTTCCTCTGAGCACAGAATTCCCGGGCCTGGAATGGCTACAGGAGATGCACGCTGTCTGGACCGCGGTGGCCTGGGGCTACATCTCCCTCCAGACTCCCTTCTGGCCAGAGACCCAGCGTGAGGGGAACCCTCCTCCATCAGAGCCGGAAAACCTGTAGGACGCATCCAACCCTCTGGGGAACTCCTAAGTGCGTCTCCTCCCAGGTCTCCCCGAGTTGCTCCC